TCGAGTGCCCCTCGAAGGAGAAGACGGTCTAAAGATCCCGTAGAACCCTGACCGGTTTGGCTCAGTGGACAGAGCATCGGCCTGCAGACTGAAGGGTCCCAGGATCGATTCCGGTCAAGGGCATGTACCTTGGTTGGGGGCACATCCCCAGTAGGGGGTGTGCAGGAGGCAGCTGATCGATGTTTCTCTCTCATTGATGTTTCTAACTCTCTATCCCTCTCCCTTCCTCTCTGTAAAAATTCAATAAAATATATATTTAAAGATCCTGTAGAAATACCTCCTCCCAGACCAGGAGGGGCTCTGAAACAGAGGTTTCCACTGGGAGCCGGGGAATACTTCGGAGGACTCAGTGGTACCAGGGCGAAAAGACTCCAGTTTTAAGATGGCACGTGTCCCCTTCAGGTCAGCTTGTTGTGCATCCTTTTCGGCGGAAAGCGCCTGGCGTTGGGCACAGATGGGTCCAGCCCACACCCCCCTGCAGAGCCCTCCCAGGCCCGCAGGTGCACAGCTCCCAAGACTCGGCTCACCTGGCGAAGTGCGCACAAACGCCCGCTGAGTGAGTGAGCGAACAGCGCAGGCGTCTGCCGTGGTCTTCGCTTTCTCTGGGACGAACACCCACCCAGCTTTGGGCAGGGAGAGGGGGTGACAGATGCGGGCATGCAGGAGGCAGGCAGTGATCATGCACAAATCTGTGAGGGGGCGGGCGGCGAGCGAAAGCGCCTTAGTCACTGCACATGGGGTTCCTGCTGGAGAGGATGAGACTGAAGGAACTAGCCACCTGGGTTTTGGCATCTGGCCAGGTAGCTTTTGCTTATCTCTCATCTTAGTCAAAAGCAGGTGGGTGTGTCCCAGCCAAAGTGTCTTTCTCATAGCGACCTCCACAACACGGATGCTTTTCTAACGAAAACGCGTGTTTGTTTGGAAGAGGGCTACCGAATCAGGACTGGGAACGGCCTTGGCTATCACTGGACCCAGAAAGGGTAAGTGACTTACCTAAGGGCACACAGCGGACAGTACTGTCTAGACTAGGGCCATGACCGACCAGAATCTCCCCAGATACAATATGCCTATCTGCGGGGAGCGGCTACAGCGGTTGGACAGGTTCAAGCCTCAGACTAATGAGAAGGCACGTCCTCTCGTGGCAAAGCCACGTGCAAGTCCCAGCTTGGAGGCAAAGCACTCCCAGCACAATTACAGCCAAAGGCTATACTGTGAGCTTGACGTTATGGTACGAACCAGAGGTCCCAGGTGGCTGAGTGATATAGGCTGTGGGAGGTGCAGCAAGTGCTGCCAGAACAAAGCTTGGTCGAGTTCAGATGCATGTAACTGAGTAGATTCGAAACCCGCGAGAACATTGTCAACAGCCTTTACTTTGCCTCCTGGAATCTGGCTATAAAATAGACTCAGCTTGCAGGCTGTGGCACTGTCTCTCCATCCGAGAGCAGCATCCCACCCGGCCCCAGCTTTATTCTCTTGTCTGTCTTCTTGAATCCTTCACCGCCCACTCCCCCTCGCCCCCGCCCCATCTCAGGTGAGCGCGGCACACCTACCATTGTGTCTGCTACCATGTTTTTAAAGAGATCAGGCTCCCTACCCCTCAGGACTGCAGCTTCACCCTGTTCCTTTCTAATGCCCTGGAATCAGAACACTCAGTACATAACTAAATGCACGTTTAAAGACCATTCATCAGTTAAGTGAGAAGACAGTGCCCACACATCAGGTCTGACAAGGGATTTCACCCTGGCCAGGGTGGCTCAGTTGGTTGGCGCATCCTCCCATGCACTGAAGGGTGGCGGGTCCAATTCCGTCAGGGCACATGCCCAGGTTGCAGGTTCAATCCCTGGTTAGGTGTGTACAAAACGCAACCAGACGATCTCTCACATCAATGTTTCTCTCTCCCTCTCCCTTCCTCCTCTAAAAGCAGTAAGAACATATCATTGGGTAAGGATGTTTTTAAAAAGGAATTTTAATCCCTGATAGGATGTAAGTAATTTTATCCATGGTGATAGTATGTTGCCGTAAACTGAAACATAAATCCATAAAGACATGTAATTACCACATAATGATCTCATGCATAATTGATGGTAAATAAAAAGTATCATTGTGGAAATATACAATGTGCATTGAAAGGTCAGGTATTCCAGGTTACAGAGACTGATTTATTTCAGAGAATGAGGAAACTGAGTTACTCCTACACCTGGTATCAGCCAAAGATCGGTGCCCAGAAAATATCTTTTCTTTAATGTTTATAAAAACTAGATGAGAAAAGCCCAGACACCAACCAAGGTTCCAAAAAAAAACAACAAAAAAACCTGGACAACCTGAGGTGTAGGCAGCTACAAATAGGACTCAACGGTGAGAACTAGTCCACGCAGAAGCATCCCAGCAAAATTCTCACCCCACACACCACACACACGCCTAACAGATGGCTCCTAACGAGCAGCTAAACATTCCATAGGCCAAATGCACAAAAATTAATGATGAAAGCATGACGCTGTATAAACCAGCAGACTCCTCTCTGCTCTCACCTCTCGCCTCACTCTGCCTCCGCGTCCCAAGCAAGTGCTCCCCAGGCCACCGCCTGCCCCTCCAGGACCAAATCACAGCCACCCGGGAGCCAGGCGCCCGCTGCAGCCCCAGAAGCCTGACTGATAACATCCAGCTTGTGGTCCAGGACGTCCCAGGGTGCGTGTCCAGCCTCTGCCCACGGCTCGCAGGGAAAGGCCCGGGCAGAGCTAATCAACACCAGCTCCCCAGCTGTGACCTGGCACGGACGGAAATGAGGAGAATCAATCCCGGCCGTCAGGAGTCTCATTTAACTCTTGGAAGGAAGCAGCATCTGGGACGGCCTCCAGACTGCTGGGTGGGGATGTCAAAGCCAGGGACAGGGGGGCCTGGGTTCCTCCCCAGCTCAGCAAAGGAATTGTCTTTTCCTGGCAAGGGTTAACCTACCCCCAAAAAGGTGGGGAGAGGGAGTTACCCACCAGCTCCTCCTCCTTCCACTTTGAAGAGAGGGGAAGCGGGCACCCCTTCCCAGAGGTGGGGCCCAAACTATTGTCTCACTAACAGCCACGGTCCAGATGGCAGCTCACTGAAACATCGGAAATGACTGTGCTCCACCGACGGTCCTCTCCCAGGACTCGGGGACCCCTATTCCTCGGCAAGTTGGAAAAAAATACCACTCCCTGGGAAGGCTTCCCAGATTTGTTTAAATTACAGGCAAAGGGATTTAGCAACCGCGCACATACCTCCACATCTTCTAAATCACTAGGTCTGTCCCCAATTTAAAAGAAAAAGTGTGCCCAGCCCTCGGCAGGAGGGGGCATTAGGAGCGATAAATCCATAACGCTTTCTCCCGGGGAAGCCTCCGGGCTGGGCTCATCGCCCGGGGCTGCTGCAGGCTCCTGGGAGAGCCTGGCTCGCCGATCGTTACAATCTTACGGGGAGTAACTGCCAAGGGGCGACCCCGCTGAAATCGAGCCACAGAAACGGGAAATGTGCCGGGCCCGCCATGGGAGGAGGAAAAGGCAGGGAGACGCCGGCGCCCATCCGTCAGCACTGATGTCCTTTGTTGTTCACCTTTGCACGGAACCGCGCGCGCTCCCCGGCTCCGTGTCCAGCGAGCGCCCGTCCTCAAAGCGGGACCCGGGCTCCCGAGAGCCAGGCTTCCCGAGCCGGGACCCCAGCATCGCTCCCCAGCCGCCCACCCTCCATCGCCGCCCCCGCCGCGCTCGCCCCGCCGCAGGGCGCCCCGAAGTAAAAACATCACCCCGACACCCGTTCCCCTCCGAAGAGCAACGGGCGGGCCGCGCAGATGGTGACAGGACCGGCGCCCCCGCCCCTAGGACACAGTCCCCTAACCCCGCGTCGGGAGGGAGGAGGGAGGAACGGGGGGAGCAGAAGGCTCCGGCCCGGCTCGGGCTGTCACCGGGCTCCACGGCGCGGGGCCACACTCCGCGCTCCCGGGACGTGGCCCGCAGCCAGAGCGGAGGTTCGCGCCTCCCTCTGTTGGGGGTGTCCTCTCGGCGGGCGCCGCGGTTCCGTCTCTCTCTCCAATCTGGGAGGTCGTCACGGCCCACACCGCGGTGAGAGAAGGGGAAGGAAGCAGAGGAACGCCGTCCACCGCTCTCCTCCAACTTGACACTCGCGCCCTGTCGCCTCTCCAACTCCGCACGCAGAGCCCGCAGCGGGCGGCTGGCCGCGCGCTGCCCCCGGTCCGCCCGGGAGTCCGAGCGCCCTAGGGCGGTGGGGGGCAAGACGCCGGCGCGCACTCCACGCCCCGAGGCCGGCTCCCCGCAGCGCGAGCCCGCAGCGCGATGCCAGCCGGGGAGAGGCATTTGCAGCCGGCAGAGCGCGAGGGGCGCGGGGGCAAGGACGCGGAACGCGCACCCGCTCGGCCCGTGGGCTTGCAAGCTGGCCCCGCAGAGACTCACCCACGCCGTATTTCTCGTGCTCCGTAGGTATCCACATGACTGGACAGGGCTCCCGGGCGCTCGGGCTGCGTCCTCCCCGCGGCCCCGCTCCGGCTCCGGCTCCGGCTCACAATGCACAGCCGCCGAGGAGTGCGCTGCGGGCGCTGGGGCGCGCTGCAGGCTCCCGAGCCCGGCGTTGACGCCGCGCGGCCCAGGCTGCGCCGCCTGCCGCTGTGCCGGCGGCGGCCGCTCACAGTCGGACGCGCTCGCGGCGACCCGGCGGCGCAGTCATTGTTCTGATTCACTGAACTAAGCGAACACGCCGGGGCACTCTCGGGCGCACCTCCGCCCGCCGGCGCCTGCTCCGGCCCTCCCTGCCCCGAGGCACACTGGGAAGTGTAGTTCGGGGCTGCGCCATTCCGGAAGGGGGCGTGGTCTGAACTATTAGGGGCGGGGGTTAGGTTCCGCTCGCCACGTTCTATTGGTCCAGAGAGTGACGGCACGACGTGGGCGTGGAGGAAACGTCACGTTGACGGGGAGTGCGCTTCCAGTCGCTCTGGCATTGGTTCCCGTCCGTCCCGCCCCGCCCCTCGGCCCTCCCCGTCCCAGTCGGCGGCGTAATGGCGGCTCCCAGGGCCCCGGGGGCTGTGCTCGGAGGCGGGGAAGACGGTGACGGCGGTCGCGGCGGAGCCGGGGCTGTCAGTAACGAGGGTGAGCCCGGTGCCCCGAGGCGCGGGGGGGCTGCGCCTTTCTCGTGGGCCAGGATGCCGCTGGCCGGACGGACCCCGGGAGCCGGCCGGCTCTGAAGCCACATGGGCGGGAGGGGGCCAAGGGCGGGGCCCAGGGGTGCGCGTGGATCCCGGGCGGCGGGTGGTGCGGGCTGTGTAGGGAGGGGGTGGCACGGCCTCCCGGGCCGCCGGGGGCGCGCAGGGCCCCGGCTCTGCGTTCTGCCGAGCGGGTGCGGGTCCACTCGGGTCCGCTCGCGGGCAGTCACCCTCTGGGTTCGGCAGCTCCTCTTCTTCGCCGGCTCCCGGGCCCCGCCTCCCTTCGCTCGGTGAGGCCTCGGGAGAGAAGTTTGCGCTGCCGGCTGGTTTCCAGTTGCAGGCTGGTCCGTGCTGTCCAGTCCACAGGTGTGCCCAGCTGCTGGCGGGAGCGGCCTCGGGAGCGGGCGGGTGTCCCTCCGCCTCCCCGGTCGCTCGCGGACGGTCCGGCGGTTAGATTCGAGGTGGAGCCCAGCGGGGTCCGCGGGGAAGGAGAAAGGAAGGGGGCGTCCGCACGCCGGGAAGGGGGTTCGGAAGGTCCCAGCCGCGGTGGCTCTGGCCGACGCTCACGTTGTCGGGTCCGCCGCAGAGACCGATGCCCAGACGTTGAAAGTTCCCAGCCCCGTCCTTCACCTTTGGTCCACCCCCTGCCCTCCCCCACCACCCGCTTGGCGCCCTCCCCGCCCCTCCCCCCCCCCCCCCCCCACACACACCCAGGTGTTCCGGAGACCCTTAACCATTACTATCCTCTTGGCCCTGGTAGGCAATTTAGCACAGCAAGTGATCTGTTATGCCCAGATTTCAAGATCCCCCAAGACAGACCACTAGGGAGCCGAGTCCGATGCAAAAGCATAGTCATTTATTCAAGCCCGGGACTTGGTCCCCCCCGCCCCCCTGCTTCCATTACTGGATGCAAGAGAGAGCCCTGAGTCCCAAGGGAACAAAGAATTTATAGGGCTTGGGGTCTGTGGCTTTCCTGGGAGAGGAGTTAGAGACACAGCTATCAGGTCCGTTCTGTCCCTTCATTATCCTTTTATGATGACATTGCTTTGGGCTTCAATTTGTTTCTCAACTCCTGTTGAGGGGTTTATTTTGTTACTGTTTTCCCGATTTAACTGAGGTTTAATCATAAGGTTTTTTCTGAGCGGTGCAGGGATAAAGTTATTTAATTCAGCGCCCCTTTTAAAGGCCTGCACCCACTGTGCTCCATGTAGAGTGGGTGTGCCGTCCCTGAGCCCGCCGTTCTCCTGTGCCTGTGTGTATAGTGGGGCTTTAGTAGTGAGGTAACGAGATAGCTTTATATACACATCCGTGGCCATTAGGGGTATATTTCTTAACAAATTGCTGGGCCAGAGGTGGCACATGTTAACCATTTTGGTAGATGTCGGATCTTTCTCTTGAAAGGGATCAGTGTGCCTTCCCACCAGGAATACATGAGATGCCCCGTACCCTCATCCATCCATGACCAATGTTTAAATGGCTAGTGGGTAGAACTGAGAAACATGATAGACATGAACATGTATCCGTGGCTCCACATCTTCGGGGTGACTCTCGTGCTGGAGAACGAGGGCCACACTCTGGGTGTACATTTAAGGTCTGACTCTTCCAGTCCCACCTCCAGCCGCCCTGCTTCCCGGCCCAGATCTCCCTGGTCACACTGACATCTCAGACTAGGTTTGCTTGGCAGCTGTGGCCACCCGTAGACAGTGCGCTTGCTGGGGGCAAGCTTTGTGGTACTTGTATCCACCGGTGCTTATCAGAGCTGAGCATAGTCAACTGCAGCAGCTCAGGGGTCAGGCCGGTTTGAAGTTTATTCAACGAACTTATAATGCAGCTCTTTTAAGCGCGTTTGTTTGACAGGACGGTGGACAGAGGAGCAGACCCTCGTCCTGGAGAAACGATTTCAGTTTCAGCTCTGACACTGAGTAACTGCGTCACATAAGTACATTGCACGTGCTGCTGACGTGTGGAAATGGAGATGTAATACCTACATTGCAGAGTGACTGACGGTGAAAGTCACAAAGCAGGGCCCGGATAAATACTAGCTGCCTTCCATGTGAAGATAACCTGATGGACTCCAAAACCGCCTGCTCTCAACTCTGCACTTGGGGAGCAATGTCAAGGGTGGGGTAGCCCAGGGGAGGCTCCGGAATGTGTGGGGATAACTGCACAGGCTGCGGGCATTCAGGGAATCTGGAGGTGTCAGACTGACTGTCTGCCGGCTCTGGGCGCTACAATTGCAACTGTGTGCTGGGAAAGCCTCTTTACATGGTCTCTATCCCGATACCCCCACCCCCACCCCCACCCCCCCGTGCTGCCCCGCACACCCAGCGCCCGGCTCCCCACATGCAGGCATGCGCGCCAGCTGAGTCAGCAGGGAGCTCTGGGGGTCGTCCAGTTGGGGGGCCTGGCGAGGTACAGGCCAGAGGGTGTCATGAAGAGAGAGTCCTAGAAACTAGTCCGGCGGGTTTGGTGTGCGGTCTGAGGGGCCTCCTCCAGGGCATCCTTTAGTTTTCCTGTGAAAGGGAACAGAACCTGCTTGTAGGCAATTTGGAGATGTTAGAAAGGAGGTGTTATTATGATGATGCTGGGGGCGCTCACATTCCTTGAGCAGTAGCTGGTGCCAAGTCCCGTATGAAATACTGTTTCGCGTCGCGTCTCCTGGGACAGTGTCAGCTGTGGTGGCACTTGGGCTGGTTCGGTGGCGACTGTGCATCTGCTCTGTGCTGGGGCCTTCCCCGGGGACCTGTCAGGGAGGTGGTGGGATCAGAGCTGATGGGAGAACCCTGTCTGTCCCCAGTCACACTGGGGGGAAGGGGTCCTTTGGAGCCTGTCCTCTAGGCATTGCCTGGGCCAGCACAGCCCAGCTTTTAAGTGTTTGTTTTTAAAGGGAAGGAAAAGCCTGCTGTCCCGGTTCCTGTTTTCCCGTAACTGAAACCTAAACGCTTCCCAAGCGAGGCTAGAGGCTCTACGTTCTGTTGGTGTTTTTATCCGAACGCTTAGATTTGTGGTGTGTTGGTGTTGTTTTTAAAGAAAGCCCTCAGAATTGTAATTGTGGTTATTTCACACAGTTTTCTGTTATGTAACAAGCTGCTATTCACCAGTAAGAGCCAATTAGAAAAGAAAATACTTTGTATCGGCTCATCGCAATTACCACTACAAAGGAATTAATAGGGAGACTGTTGCCTGTTAGTAACCCACAGCCTAGTAGCTAGCTGTGCGCAGCCCTACAGCTGATGTCCATGCTGGGGGAGGGACGTCTGGGAGGTCTGGAATTAGTAGCAGCCAGTTCATGACCCACTTCTGGAAGCTCTGGAAGCACGCACCCACGTGAGGGAAGCCGTTCGACCAGACCAACTTCCTGGGCATGGGCCACCTTTCCAGGGCCGTGGCTCAGAGACAGGCTTTAGTGGGTGTAAATCTCACTCCTGCTTCTGGCTGGCTGATGTTAGAGAAGTTACTTGCACTTGTGATAAGATTTCCTGGTTTGTCTACGAGAGAATTCACTTATATTAACATCCTTTGACTGCATTTTCCAAATATCAACAGAGTAAGGTGAAGGTGGGTTGACACCAGGGAGCCCACAGCATGCATATCCCAGGGTTCGTGAGGCAAGAATAACATATCCGCGTATGCGCTAGTTGCACCTGTGGGTGATTTTAATCAGGCATGTAGAGTTAGGAAATTGGTGGAGAACCACAGCAATGGACGACTTGTAAGGTCTCTTAATCCAAGGGAGGGAATATGGATAGATCAACAGGATGGATCCCATCTGACCCTATTCTCTCACCTTTCCAGTTTTTAACAGGGCAAATCGTAAAAGCTATTGATAGAACTGAGACTTAGTTCATGCAGAATTTTTAAAAATATATTTTTATTGATTTCAGAGAGGAAGAGAGAGAGAGAGAGAAACAACAATGATGAGAGAAAATCATGGATCAGCTGCCTCCTGCACGCCCCCTATGGGGGATCGAGCCCGCAACCCGGGCATGTGCCCTTGACTGGAAATGAACCTGGGACCCTTCATTCCACAGGTCGACACCCTATCCACTGAGCCAAACCATCTAGGGCTTTGCAGGGATTTGTATGAACCGGATGCTCTGTGCAGTGTGTGTGTTGTAGATGCAGAAGAATACAAAGTCGAAAACAAGGTAGGCCTTGCCATCCGGGATCACATGGCCTAAAGGGGAGAGAGAAGAACTGCACACATAGCTCTGTTACAGGTAGAAAATGTGCAGAACCATCGACGTGACAAAGGCAGAGCTAAGTAAGAGATTCTGTGCACCTGAAGCGAATGGAGTGCTGGATGTCAGTCATATACTCATCAATCCATCCGTGCCATGTAGTTCAACAAGAGAGAGCGAAATGGATGTGGCCGTCAGACATGCTCTGCATAAGAATAATCTCAGTAAAGGGGGGAATTAGAGGAGGAAGTTACATAAAAAGCTAATGAAAAGTGGAGAAGGAAGAGACTGCCCCTTCATCCTGAGCAATCAGTGGCTGTAACACAATCCTCCCGCAGAAAGCGCTAACACGCTTCTGCTCATGACCCCAGACGACGTAGAATTTGATGCTCAGAGAAAGAGGCCTGTTCTTGATCTTTTTCCTGGTGAAAAAAACATCTTAGCGTGTACGGACAGAACACATTAGATTCTGCACCATTAATTCCCCATTAATATGCTCTTCGCAGGCATCGGTAGTTCCGCTTCTCTCTATAAGTAGAGCACAGTGCTGTCTCCCTTCATCCCATGGAACCCAGCCTGCCTCTGACCATGCGCATTCACAGCTCGCAGGGCAGGTGAAGAGTAAAGAAGGAAGCCTTAGGCGGCGGCCTGGAGGGCAGGTCATCTCTGCTGTCGCACTCAGGGACATTTTCATCAGAACCGTGTTCTCACTGGTTTTGTTCGCCTCCTGATGAAGTGGGGGGGGGGGGGGGGGGTAGTAAGCCTTGATGCTTTCAAGGACAGTATCCCAGGACTCAGACTTACAGGACAGCAAAGTGTTACAATATCTTATACACAAAGGTGTTTTCGTGATCAATAATTTGCAAACACTATGAAGTTGCATATCTTCTTACTGCAGGACTTTAGTAAGTTAAGTTCCCTGAATGTCCAAGAGACACATAAAATGGCAGTTTCCCAGATATTTGACTACACTCCCTTTTCCTCAAATCCCCCCAATTAACACTTCCTGCGGTGTGAGTGCTCTGCGGAATGTCTCCCCCGGAAACATCGAAACATCGTGTTGGTTAAGAGCAGAGAGGGTCCCAGCAGCTCCATCCCACACACCGTTCACCCCTGGCTGACACACAGCCGCGGGCTCTCCATGGAGCCCTCCTGCCCCGCCCTTTCAGCCTCCTCCGTGGGCGTGGGGAGCAGCCACACAGAGCGCTCCCCGCGGGTGGAGACCACAGCGCAGCTCTTTGCTCTGCCAGGGAGTGTGACAGCCTCCAGGCAGCATGGCCTGGTTCATCCAGCAGCCAGAGCTCTTAAAATGTCCCAGGTAACACTGACACCAATATCTGTGTCAACAAAACCTACCACGTCAGCAAAATACGAGCAACTTGACTCTTCAAATCGGTGTCTTCTCTTCTTTATTCTGTGTCCTTTCCGTGGTGTGCTTGACTAAGGTTTGGAAATTGAACAATGGAAAGTGTCCCCACTAACCGCTTTCTCCCGCCGGCTCCAGAGCCCTCGATCTGAGCTCCCTATTAATCAGGGAACCGTACCTGCTCCTGCATTATTTAAGGCTATAAAAGTTTAATTCACATTCCTCGCTCAGCTTCCATGGCCTCAGGAATGTAGGTCTTCATTGCCTGTGTGGCGGCGTCAGAGTGTCCATTTCTGTAGCTCTGTCCATTCCCGAAATGGTGAGCCAAGCAGAAGCCGCAGCTGCTGTGGGCGGAGGAATTTCTTAGGGAAGATTTTTTCCAACAGCTTAGAGAAGATTCATGGGACCATTGTTACTAACTTCTAGTTAGCCGTATTCACCGCTGGCTGGTCTCCATTTCTTTGGGATTCTCAAAATAAATGTGGTTTCACTGTTAGAATCATTATTATCAAAAGACAGGAAATAACAAGTGTTGGAGGGGATGTGGCAAAAGGAAGCCTTGTGCACTGCTGGTAGGATGGTAAATTGGTGCAGCCACCGTGGAAAATGGTATGGAGCTTCCTCAAAAAATTAAGACCAGCGATTCCACTTCTGGGCATGTATCTGAAGAATATGGAAACACTAACTCGAAAAGATACATGCAGCCCTGTGTTTGTTGCAGCGCTGTTCACAGTAGCCAAGACGGGAAGTCTGTGCCCATGACCAATGAGCAGAGAAAGAGGAGGAGGCCTAGCTCCCCAACAACTGCCAGACAAGCCCCCATCATTTGCGGAGGAGTGACTGTGAGTCTTGAAAACTGTGTGTGTGTGTGTGTGTGTGTGTGTGTGTGTGTGTGTACACGTGTGTGTGCAATAAACTATTTTAAAATGTTGATGTATTAATTGGGGTGAAGTTCAGTCTGATAAACCAGAAGGGGGAATGCTGGTTTGTTGCTATAATTCGTCTCTTACTGAAAACGTATGTACGTATCTACTGCAAGTGCTGCTTCACCCATTTTCGGTACCTTTCTAGTGCAGGCGTCTTTTTCATGATAAGCTGCTTTATTTTTTCTTTCCTTTTTTTTTCTGAGTAGCTCGGTTTACTCTGAGGTCTCCAGTGAATGCCATCTGGTCCTAACTGCAATTTTTCAGAATATTTTTTGGTTCCTTCCTGTCTCACCATTAGGAGGGTGGGGGGGGCGGGGGGGCAGGTTTCTTCCATTTTGATGGTTTATTGTATTAGATTACTTCATTGCCTGTGAATGTTTTTACTCTTTTAAATTTTTCTTTAATATGTATGACATTTTTCATTTCTGAAACAAGCAAACATCAGTAAGGTACTATTTTACATAGTGTATTGGGGTCGAGACAACATAGAACTTTTCTAATTCAAAGAATTTTTCATTCGATCAGTGTGCAATGTAGCTTATGTATTCCTTCCTAATAGCAAGTGTATGTGTCTGAAACAGGCAGTGGCGTGGCGTGGGGGGTCCAGTCTATTCTTTCAGAAAACAGACAAAATAGTAGCTTCCAGCTCCTGAGGAAGGAAGGGCAGTGTCCGCCATCAGGATCCTGCTGTTTCCTCCAGTCCCTCCTGTGGTGAGAGGCAGCCGTGGCCAGGGACTGCCACCAGAATGTCTTTGTTTCCCTCTTCACTGAAGTGATTTCAAAGCCTTTGTGCCATCGGGTCATGTATGAGAGACCGACAGATAATTTTAAAAGCGAATAACGAGCCCTGGGATTAGGATGGGGATTAGGAGTCATAATGATTGGGGGTAAGGTCTCTGGAGACATCCCGACCTCCGCTGTCCCCTCGCACGGTGTTCCTGCGTGTCTGTCCCGTGTGTAAGGACACGGACACACTGGATTATGATCGCACTTGACCTCATTTTAGCCTGATTAACTCTGTAAAGACCCTGTTTCCAAATAAGGTAGCATTCTGAGGTCCTAGGGGCCAGGTCCACAGTATGTCTTTTTGGGGGGACACAATGCAACCACTGACATTGGCAGCTCACAGCAGCCAGTGTGAGCACCCAAACCCCAGACCCTGGCCTTCCTTGGAGAAGCACGCTCCCACAGTGAAGGAAGTCAGGCGAGGACCTTGGAAATGGCCGTTGGTGGCGCGGGACTCGGCATCGCGGTTTGCTTACGGTGTAGAAGGAGGCCTGTTAGAAATGCAGGCTCAGCCAACTCCGGCCAACAGGAATGCCCATCTCCACGAAAGCCCTCCACATTTCCCATTTCAGATTTTAATTATTTGATTTTAGAAGAAAACCCTTGATTATATTTATAATAAGGGACCAAGGCTTATTCTATCTGAAATTTGATGTTGAATGGCTAGCATGGAGCCTCCCAAGTCGCCTCATCGTACAGACATTAAGGTCCCAGCTCCTCCTCCAGGCGTGTCCTGTCCAAGCTGCCTGCCCCTCCACTCACAGGGCACCCCCTGGCCTGTCCTCCCCTAATTTGAGAGGCTAACCCTGCCTCTCAAATGTCGTTGTCATCCAGAGGGAGCGGCCACCTTGTGAGTGGCTCACTCGCTGTGTGTTTCCTAAGAGACGAGATCAGGAGAGCGCAGAGAACGGTCCTTGCAGTGCGTGTGGCTCAGCAAAGCGCACCGTCCGTGTGTGTGCACAGAGTTATGGAAGCCCAACAGGCGTGGGCAGATCGAGACGTGAGCTCTGCGTCCCAGCCGGGCCAGGCTCACGGTGCCCTCCTGGGGTGGTGCCCATGTTGAGGGGCATGGGAAAGGCTCCGCTCCTCCACAGCCGGCCCTCTGCTGTGCTGCTGTCCCAAAACCCTGTCTCCACTCGCTCCACACCCCGAGTTAAGGCGGCTCCTGAAATGCGAGGAGCACTGTGTCCCGCACCTCAGCCCGGCCACCTCAGCGTGAATCTACCAGGTCATTTGCGAAATGGATTAAAGATGCGCCAATCAACAGAGCACTCCTTTCCTGAGCGCTGAGCTGAGAACGGGAGAAGAGCGAGAAACTAATTCTAAGGAGCTTCCAGTGTCATTTATGGAGCAAAATGTATACGCGGCAAGCAGAAAGGCCAGTAAGGATATTTCAGTGAGTGACAGGCGACTTGGTAGGTTAGAGAGCAGCATTTCTCAAGCTTTCTTGTAAGTGATGGAACTCTTTTCCAAATTACCTTACACTGAACCTCGATATATAAAAGCCATCAGCGCTAGGCCTCCTCGGTGGAAGATGACGGGGAGGCCGAGGGAGCCATCGCTGTGGCTGCCCCTTCATCCCAGGGGTCTCGTAGCGACCCGAGGCATCGGGATCACAGGTCAAAACCCCTGCGTTTAGCTCATGAGCACGAGTGAGCGAGGGCAGGAAAGGCCACTGCCACCCGACCAGGCGGGGAAGCTCCCAGTGGGATCCTCGCAAGGCAAGTCGGTGTGTGGGGGTGGGATTTGAGTAGACGGAAACGAGGGAGGAGACAAGAAATACAAAGAAACACGGATGGGCGGGCGTTGAGCGCAGTGAGAAGGTGAGGGGGAGACGTTCCACATGAGCTGGGGAAGGGGCAGCGAGTTGAGATGAGCTAGGAAGCAAGGCAGAGGCACCGGGTTGCAATCCCAGGAACCGGGTGCGGGGGGGGGCTGACTGGAGGAGGGAGAGGATTGGTGTTTGTTCAGCGGTTGTCCCTTCTCTGGCTCTTCGCAGCTTCTTAGTGAAACACTGAGGCAGCCACCCACCTGCGCTCCTCCCTCCCTCGGTCCCCAGGGCCCTGTCACACCTGCCACCGGAGCCTGCCTCCCCGCACTGCACCCCCACACAGCCCCGCGGGTCCTCTGCCCGCTGTGTGCAGTCAGGGCCTCTGGTGCCCTCCCCTCTCCTCCCAAAAGCTTCCCTTTGCTTCCCTCCCTGGATTGCAAGGGGAGCGTTCACCTTCTAAAGATGGAGAGCTGTGTGTGGCCACAGCTCTTTGTTCAAGGAGAATACATACCTTAATTCATAGACATGCCAGGAACTAGGCCAGGGGTGGGCAAACTTTTTGACTGGAGGGCCACAATGGGTTCTTAAACTGGACCAGGGGGGGCGGGAACAAAAGCATGGATGGAGTGTTTGTGTGAACTAATATAAATTCAAAGTAAACATCATTACATAAAAGGGTACGGTCTTTTTTTTCAATCGTTTTATTCATTTCAAACGGGCGGATCCGGCGGGCCGTAGTTTGCCCACGGCTGAACTAGGCAGTGACTTGGCTTTTCTAGTCTCAGAACTGTTCAGGTGTTTTGCTTTTTTAATTCATTGGTTCCCCTCTCATTTTCTGTGTGCGGCTGACTCCTCTTCGGTTGTCCCCATAGCAACACTGGATAATGCTAATGAAGCCGCGGCATCCTGGGCGCTCCCACAGAGCCTCTCTGTTAACTGGCCTGAACCGGCCTTGCATTTGTTATTTCCTTCCCTTAGAGAAATCGGGGTTTGGGAATTTTCCCAGTGATCAGACTTCACTTCCTAAACTGTCTGACTAGAAATGGGGTCTAATATAGAGGCACTTTTTTGAAGATGATACACCAGCCCTCCTCCCACCCCACACCACACCCTGTGTTAGTGGACACCTTGTCCTCAGGATGCGGCTCCCCAGAGGCAATAGCCTCACCTGGGAGCTTGTTAGAGATGCAGGGTCACGGGCCACACCCCAGCCCTGGCATCAGCGGCTCGGGGGGCGGGGGGGTGCCCAGTGCTCTGTGCTTACCAGGCCTCCCGGTGATGCACAGGAGGGAGAAACACAGGACAACACCTTCATATCCAGGTGACGTGATGCTCACACACAGGAGGGAGACCCACAGGACAACACCATCACAGCCCGGTGACGTGATGCTCACACACAGGAGACACACAGGGACAGCACCCTCATATCTAGGTGACATGATGCTCACACACAGGAGAGAGACCCACAGGACAACACCGTCACAGCCCGGTGACGTGATGCTCACACACAGGAGGGAGACCCACAGGACAACACCGTCACAGCCAGGTGACATGCTCACACACAGGAGGGAGACCCACAGGAAAACACCGTCACAGCCAGTGTGTGATGGATTCTGCTAACGGACGGGAAATCATTTTACTGTGTGGTTTTCATATCTCCTAATTTGTTTATACTGTGAAATAGATGAGTACCAACTTATCTGTATCTCAAGTTGGGTAAACTTTCAAATAGAAAGTTTTTAAAATATCTGGCTATCTATGGGGTAACCTTAGTTAGCCTTTATGTAGAAACTCCTAAAAATCTTTTTACTGGGTTTTATTTTGGCACAAGAAGTATTTTTCTGTGGGACAGTGAACATTTTCATGTACATATTTATCCCGTGCTGCCACCAGCCTTGGTGGTATTTGGGGAAAACATGTCATCATAAATATCCACTTTCCACATGAGCATGTTGACGAATCAGAATCCAAGTTCTTAGCACCTTTACTTCTAATAGTATTTCCCAGGGGCCCACGGCACCCCACATTGTTCTTGTGCTCTGTGAGAGTCTCCTGTGCTGCCTTCCTGATGTTAGCAGTTGTATTAAAGAGATAATAGCCAGGCTGGTTGCTAATGAAGTCACTTATTCAACTGCTAGGTAATTAGAAAGACATTAACACACCAGCAGATGCTCTGAATCTGTTTTGTTATCCCCAAATATAATAAAATAAGATACAGTGACTTTTACTTTTGCATGCATTAAGCTAAATCAAGATTTGTTCTTCTGTCCCGGTTACAAAAGGCTGAGTCTCAGGTAGAGTCTTCCTGCCCTGTTGTTCCAAACACTAGCAGATCTGCTTCCCCTTAGGCTGCAATGAC